TATTTGCATTCATGCTCTTAATATAGCTGGAGAATCTATAGCAGGGGTTCCAGTTGTATAGGGATCATTATTTAGAATTGGTATATATTTTCCTCACAACTTTGATTTTAAAAGACCAAATTTAATCGCATTATTAAAGTCTCCAACATTGGCATTTTCAAATGCTATTATATTTGGCTCTAAATGCAAAATAGAATTCCAGATTTTATCTAAATAATTGTTGAAGGGTTCCTGCCTAGTATATTGATCATGTTTTGCAAAAATAGTTGCTATTGTATTGTATAACAGTTGTTTTCTAGCTTCTGCCATATTTTCTAAAGGATTATTAATTTGTAAATTTAAAATAATTTGCCTCAAATTTATTTCTTTTTGCTTCTATTTTTCATATCAATTATATACTCAATCCTGATTATATTCTAATAATCCTATATCTGCTTGAGCTTGTCTATAATACTTTTTTAGGTTTTGCGTTTACTGTATACAAGCAGTATGTCTTCTTTTCTACCAATATTTTTCATAAACATTTTCACATACCATATCTCTAAGATTATTGATTTCATCATCTCTTTGTTATCAGGTTTGTTTTTCATCCCTTCATACTTGTTCTATCATCTATACATTTTGAAGACAATCATTTCTAAAATTTGTTATATCATTTATAATCCTATTGATTTGCCCTTGAGATACATTAAGTAAACCTTGTAAGTTTGCATTTTTCTGAGTATACCTTTAATTATGTTCTCAAATAGTTGTTATTGAGATCCCTATTCCATTTAATGAATTTCTTGGGTCAAATGATGTATTGTAAATGATATATCCTTCAATCTGATCTAAAACTGTACCAATATTTCTTAAGATATCTGGTAGTGCTATATTTTCTTGATGTTTTTCTTCAGAAGGTTTATTATTCTTATTTACTTTTTTCTCGTTAAACTCAAAAAAGGGCTATTGCAATCAGTTTCTTGACCGAAAGAGTATGATATCTTGAGAATTTGGCTTTTGAGCTTTTTTACTATATCTTCTAGCAGAATAATTTGGTTATCTTGAGTGACTAATGCCTCCTCCTTTAGATCTAAATTATCCTGACATTTTTTGAGATTATATAGGATAGAGCAGTATTCTGCTTTTATTCTATCTAACTCATCCTCTCGTGTAATAAGATTTTTTTCAAGATATTTGATATATAACTCACATCGCTCTAAATCATTTGTGAGCTTATGAATCTTTTCCTTATTTTTAATGGTAATGGTTTCCTTTTTAGTTAACTTTATCTGCAATTCTAAATTACTGTCTAACAAATTGATATATGCCTGCTCAGCTCCTATTAATTCCTATTATTCCAATAGATTCTGGCGAGATTCAAAATGTAGATGTGTCTTCAGCTTTACGCAAAATTTATTATCAGCCTTCAGGCTATCAGAGGACTGCAAAAAAATTACACAAAGCCTCTCAAAAAGCTGAATATGATTTTTCTCTTGATGAGATGTGTGATTGGCTTGAGAGACAGGCTGTTCACTAAATTCATATGTCTTGTTCTAGATATATTCCTCATGTAAGTTTTAGCTCTATTATTACTTCTAATGAAGTATACCAGGCGGATGTTTTTTATATATAACATATTAAATCAAAACGAACAATCTATCTTTTTTACCTTAACTTAGTTGATATAGCTTTGAGATATAAAGCAACTATTCCTATTGGTGTAGCTCTTAAGGGTCCTACCAAGAGCATTAAGAATATATAAGGCATTTTAATTTCAACTATAATTGCTAACTTAAGGGTCCTGCCAAGAGCATTAAGAATATATAAGGCATTTTAACTTCAACTATAATTGCTAAATGTTTAGAAAAAATTTATAATGATCTCAAAAACCCTCTTATTAGACCAAAAGTATTTCTATCAGATAAAGGGTCTGAATTCAAGGGTGAATGTGAAAAATTACTAAGAAAGTATGACGTAAAAATTCAGAAGGCTAAGTCTAAAAATACTATAATATTGTTGAGAGATATAACAGAACATTTACTGAAATATTTTATTGTATTCTTGATGGAAAAGATTTATTGATTACTTTTCTACGTCCTCTTGATTCAGTCTAATATGAAAGCTTAGAGACTTTAATAAAAGATTTACCAAATGTTATTACTATGATAGTAGAAAATATTAATAATTCTATCACACGCCAACTTGGTATTTCTCCTGCTAAAGCAATAAAAAGAAAAAGTATTATCTCTAAATCTTCTTATTCTCAGAATGGACCAATAGGCTTTGATGAAAAAAAGCTTTCTGGAGATGTGCTTGTAAGATATTTGCTTTATCTTAAAGACTTAGAGGGTGGAAGATGTCGTGCTGAAGATTTGAATTGATTTTCAAATATTTATCATATCCATTAATCTATAGTGCAAAAAAATCAGCTGGTCTTATACTGGCTGAAGGAAGTCCCTTTTGGACTAATTGATAATGATGATTATGTGGTCAAACATTCTGAAAGATCTTTTGTAAGAGAGGAATTGATGATTATTTCTTTTGATACAGAATTGCCACCTCAGTGGGTACTCATGAATTAAATTTCTAAAGTGATGATAGGAAGTCTTCTGTCTTTTCATCAACTTGTTTATCTGTAATAAAATGATTCTTAGCTAATTTATAGTATAATTTATATAGTTCCATTATGACATTAAGAATCTTTGGATTTCACCTATAGTATTCTTTATAGTCATCTTTGATTTTATGATATTTAGATTTATTAGGGAATATGATCATAGCTAGTTTGAGAACATATTCTTCAGGATTCTCTGCCTGGCATAATTTTTTAATCTTTTCTTTATATGATTGCATGAATTTACCTTCCTTTGGCCTTCTATAATAAATGCTAACCTTGATGACATTTATTAATGCCTGTTTGATTTCCTGATATGTGGGCTTTATTTCAGCTAATTGAATTTGTATACTCATTGTGTAATTAGTATATGTATTACTATATTGTGTAAAGATTTATTCAATTAAAATTATTTATATAACTATAAAATAGGTGAAGTTGCTAAAGCAAAAGTAAAATTTATTTGTTATTATCTTCTTAATACTGATGAAATTTGTGGTAGACGTAATACTAAACCTAAAGGTTATCGATCACACTTTAAAGCTAAGAAGCACTAGCTGTGCTCTGCTTGTATGGTGCAGGTCATCTAAAAGGCAAACAGTCTGAATTTTTTTTTGCCGATCACAGACCTGTCACGTAATCTTTATCCAATTAAAAATTATCACGTGAATTAAAATTGTCACATGATTAAATATCAAATCATTAATTTATCGAGTTTTAATTTATTAAATTTTTTGTATTAAAATAAATGAAATTTATTAATTTATTTTATTTAATTTCTCTAATATATTTTCAGGAATTTTTCTATGTGATTTGTATTTTTTAACAGCATATTCTGCTAATTTATCTGTAATTCCATACCTATATAAATTCATATATCACCATGTTTTTCTTGCAAATCTACGAATAGTTGTTAAATCTACAGAATCTAAGGCACAAGGAACTATTTTTTGTAATCCACTCCATGTGTAATCACAATTATTTCATGTATGTCATTTTGCTGCTTCCCAATAGCATTTAATGAAGTTCAATTCATAATGAAACTTTGGAAAAAATATACAAACATGATCAGCATTTTCAATTATTTTAACTAATGCAGATTTTTGAGCTAAAAAATCTGGTTGAAGAGATAAAATCTGTCTTTCACAGCAATCTACACGTAGAGAATCATCATTTTTGTTTTTACATAATTTGCATTCTCCTACTATATTTTTTTTTCACAATCCTTGTTCAATCAAAACTTGTTTTACACTTTTTGGTCAACCATCAGGAAAATTCATACTTTGTATTTTATTATTTGGACCCAAAAGGTATCATGCATTTTAGATGCATTTTCACCAAGTTCGATATTCATTCTCTTTACAACTAATGCATCAGAAGCAAATGCAGAATGATTTGAACTATTATTAAAAGCAAATACTTCAATACAATTTGGAAATAAAGCCTTAAATATAGGAATGGCTTTATATTTAACCTGTTCAATAAGATGTTCAGCTGTCCAATATCCTTCATCATTCTTTTCTGATTTTAAATATACTCGTACTTCTTCTGAAATATCAGGATAATTCTCAATTTGCTCAGCATTTAGTTTAAGTCTTTCACAAGCTTCAGTTAAAAATTCGCTTACCATAATTGATTTTCTATTAACTTTTGCATAATAGTAACTTACCTGACTTAGCCTATGTTCTGCGTTTCTCATCATTTGAGTAGAAAATGCATTTATCATGAACTATTAATATATACTCTTCTCTTCTGAAGTTAATAAAGGAGTAATTTTTTCCATATTATCACCTTCATATGTTGCTATGTATTTTTTAAGTTCAGCCATTTTTGATAAAAACACTTTTCGATATTCCATCATAATATATTCCTTGTTTTTGTTGTTGATAATGATATCCAAGCACATTTAACCATTGTCTTGCAATATTTATACTAATCATATTTTTATTAATACCTGCTTTCAGTAATAATATATCCTGAACAAACTCCTTAAACTGATGTGGAGTTGTATAACTTCTATTTCTTCGAATCCATTTATAACATATTTTAGCAATATCTTCATCATCAATAATTCTACTGATCTTTTGATGTTTTCCCTGATGAGATGTAGGTAGAGTATTGTTAATACACCAATACTTTGCTATTTTTCAAACTCAAGTAGCTATTGATTTACTATTACTATTATATACTATATTTACCGCATCCATACTTGCCTTTATTTTTTTCTTTCCTTTTAATAAATGTTTAAGATATTCAAATATAGCCCTTTTTGTAACATACTCTTTTGCCAATATTCCATTAAAGTTTCCTTTAAATCCTTTTCCAAACTTAAAACCATGTCTTCTGATGGCTGAACGAACATAGAGGCTTTCTCTTCATCTGATAAAATATCTTGAGAACCTTCTTACATTGATTTATCTTGCAAATTAAAAAAGCTTTCTAATTTTTGAGTTCCCTTTGCTGCTTCTGTCCACAAGCCACTAGGTCTCCATTTGTCATAATAAGTTAATTTTGGTGTCTTACCCATTTTATAAGAACCGCGTTTTTCTATTTCTAACTTTGCATCCGGTTTCTACTTCAATCCAAAATTCACCTTCAAAAGTCTATCCCACATATCTTGTTCTGCTTCCAAATCAGTATCACTTTTCCAATCACTTACCTCATCATTTCCCCAATCATTTTCACTAAAAGTATCATCCAAACCCGTTTCTAATTGTTCCCCTAATATGTTCCCTTCTGTATCGCTCTCAATTCTAAAATAAAAATAAATTTATTTAAATAATTCTTATAAATAGATTGAACGATTTATAAACTTACTCAAGTTCTATGAAAAATTTTCCTATTTTATTCCGGGTTACGTTTTTTAGTACAGTTTTTCTTTTATTAAGTCAGGGTATGCTGGAAAAATTTTTTAAAAAAAAAGTCCGTTCAACCTATAAATTAAAATTCATCATCGTCATTATCATCATGTTACAAATTTTCACATGATCGATTTCATTTTATTGGACAAAATCATTGTCACATAATAAATCGCAAGTCTGAAATTTAAACATTTTATAGAAAATTACCAATTTTCAAACGCCTAAGGCTCAAAAAATTTCTAATCAACTAGAGATTTGAAGCTATAACTTTTATTCTCTATTATCTATATTATCATTATTACGGATTATTTTTTTTTATATCATGTAGAACAAAAGTTTTAGGATTTTAAAATCATACAATTTTATTTCTATTTATAGATGATCTGTACCATACTATAATGCCACTATAATAAAATATATATCACGACCACAAACTTCTGAATTTGATAATCTTATATATTCTCAGTATTTTGAAAGATATTTAATTATACCCTCATCACCATTCACAACCTCTCATATAATCTATCATGATAAATTAAACAATTATGTTATTAAATGATCAAAAGATATAATAATAAGATATCGATTCCTTAAAATTGAAGATAGAAAACTTTATTTTTATCAACAATTACTTCTAAATGTATCAATAAGGTTTGAATCTGATTATAAAATTAAATCAAATAGCACTTACCGTAAAAATTTCTTACAGTAGTGGTCATAAGTATCTGACCGCCTGAAATCGTCCAAAATTATTATATAACTACTCCTTAAATTTTCCAAAAATATAATGTAATACAATACATAATCACCTGTAAATTTATAAGTGTCAATGATACAAAAAAAAAATTTAGATGATC